TCAATATTTTGATTTTTTTGCACCCTCAGATTCCAGATTTTCAAATAGTTGTATCTCGGACAAATATTGTCCTATCCTAACAAACCATACATCAATGGAAAGCTTATTTATTTCCAAAAATTGACCCTTATGGCTAGTCTCGTGGTCCAGGGTCACATATGTTTGTGAATCTGATGTGTGGATCTGATCACGGTCTTTCAGGGAAGAACCCAAAAGAAGACTATTTGGAGGCAATGATGACAGAAGCTCCTGGGCCCATAAACTTCACTATGTTTCTCACGATGTTTGGAGAGAAGCTTAACGGCACAGACCCGGAGGAAGTCATCCGTAATGCGTTTGCCTGCTTTGACGAGGAAGGAACAGGTGAACAGATTGTCTCTTATTGAATCCATGCAACACAATTTCTGCTACAGTCGTGCTCGGCATCAATGAATGCCTTTAAAATGAATGCACTCTCTGCACTCAACATGATTTTTAAGCTTAAATATGAGGTTTATATATCTGAACTGCATGTAAAATTCTCATCCATTTGAATTACAGAGTTTTTAACAAAAATAAACTTAATGTGATGCATGTTTCTCAGTCATGCATAAACGAAATGGGTAAAAAATTAAAATCATGGCATAGTTTGTTATTAACTATTTGATTTTATTTAAATCATATTTTCCAAATGCATTCTTGGAATCAGCATAAATCAGTTCATTGTGACAATTACATTTATTCAGTTAAAAAGTATGAACGTGGTTAAGATATGGCTAGCTGTGAAATAAGTAATATTAAATTGGTGTATAAAATGTATGAGATTGAAACTATTTGGATTTATTGATGAAAAATATATAAACCTGGACACTGTGTGTTTAAAGCGCATTCAGATTATTAGTATTATTTCAAAATTTCCATTTCATTTATGTGAGACTGACAAATATAAAAATATGCATCACATTGTTTATTAGTTTGTAATGCAGTTCAAATGCATCAATCTTTTTGAGCGTGAAGAATTATGCAGCGGTGTAGAGAAAGTATAACAAAAATATTGAACTACCGAGGAACAATACTCTCATTTGGAGACTTTGCTCTTAACAAACCCCGCAGATTGGACTAAGATGAAGCTGTGATTGTTTCTCCTCGCAGGCTTCGTTCAGGAGGACTACCTGAGGGAGCTGCTGACCACTATGGGTGATCGATTCACAGACGAAGAGGTCGACGAGCTTTTCAGAGAAGCGCCCATCGATAAAAAGAGCAACTTCAACTACGTGGAGTTCACCCGTATTCTTAAACACGGAGCCAAAGACAAAGACGATTAAACAAACAAAACACCCTGCATCCTCTTTAAAAACCCCCCTTTAGGTGAGAGAAATCCGTGCTGAATCCCCATGAGAACCCACCTCTAACTTTAATATACTGAATGAAAAGTAAGTGTTTACTCTGTGCAACTCACTGGAATAAGATCTCATATTTTGAATGGATTATGATGTAGGATCACAGTTAATGCCACTCATGGTTTGAGCTGTTAAAATGCAAGATTGAACCATTCCCTTTTTTTTTTTTTTTTTGGTGGTGGTGGTGTTTAAACTTGTTTTTTTTCTTAGGTTTGTGTGCCAGTGTTTTGTTTTGTGCCAACTGGAACAAATTCCACTTGATTTCATCACACCTCACTGTTAACTGGTGAAAGTATTTTATAAGTGCAGGGCTCTCATGGATCATGTTTCCATATATTTTGACCATGTCTTAGGTTTTTATAATGGCAACTTGAAAGTAGGGTTGCAAAAAGGTGGAAAATTTCCAGTAAATTTCGGAAACATTCCAAAAATTTTGGAAAATTTCTAGGGTTTTTTAAAAAAATATTCCAGGGATTTTTGGAAAGTTTCCGGAAATTTTCCACCCCTTTGCAACCCTACTTTAAAGTACATAGTCTCACTCCGTAAGTTGTTTCTCAGATCTCTAAGACGAGTTTTTTTTTTTTTTTTTTTGGTGATTCAGATGATAAAAAATGTGAACGTGTTAATGTTTAGATGCATTTGATCTCATTTGATTTCGTTGCCTAACTTTTTACATTTTATAATATTGAATATTTTGAATAAATCTCTCTTAAAACATTCATGTGCAGTTTCTTGTTTTTTTTTTTTTGAATATACAGTATATATAAATAATGGTTTTAAGTCAGTTATTTCTATATTTTGCTGTAGTGTGTCAGTAGGAAATATCAGTTTGCATTTCCAAGCATTCATTTTGCCATTAATTGTAATAATCCAGTGAGATTTCTGTCTGATAGCAGCCAGTGCTCCACACAGAGATCTGATCAGCATCAGTCTGTCTGGAATAACATGAAGAATCAGAACAAACTGAGACTCAATCCAGAAGAACTGTGTCTCCAAGACGCTTGAAGAAACCTACCTGCAAAGCTACAGTGCTGTTAACAGTTTTAGGCACTTGTGTAAAAATGCACTAAAATGAGGATGCTGTCAAAAATAATGTCATAGATTTTCTTTATCAATTAACTTCTATTAACTTAATTAAATCAACATTTGGTGTGAGCATCCTCTGTTTAAAGCAGCTTTTGCCCTCGGTGCACTTGCGCATAGTTTTTCAGGGAGCTTTGCAGGTACACTCTAAAATAAAATCTGTAGAAATAGGGCACGATATACTGTAATTTGAAGGAATTTTTCCACATTATTTTTTTTACAGGTGTTTTACCAGTATTTAGAATTTTACACTTCATTGCATTTTGTTTTAGAGCTAACAGAAATGTCCGTAAAATTAATGGATAATGTCGTGTGTAATGAGCTGCCAGTTCTTTTTCTGTTATTTTACGGATTAATTTTTTACAGTGTAGGTTTGCTAGACAAATGAAGTCTTGCATTTACTTGTTACAATTCACAAGGATATTACTATTTCAATCTCTTAAATTATAAACTTGAAAACATTACATAAATATTAAACTGTAAATTATTACATCAATTTTACATATTAAATATTATCATTTTTTTCAAACATTTTTGTGGACGGGAGTTTTCAGCTTTTCACCAGATTCATGAAACATTTATAAACCTTTTGTCAGCTAAACACAGACTTAAAATCTCCTTGCAGTTTTCTGCCAAAATGAAAGAATAAATAAAAATAAATGATGGTTTAACATTTGAAAGCGAAGGATTTGAGACATATTATGTATTGTAAGTACTGCAGTGTAAAATAAAATAATCATTATAATGTTCAAATATTATTTATTTCTAAATTAGTTAATGATATAAACTTTATTATTATTATTATTATTCAAATTGACTGGTTTCCTCAAAACAGTAGTATGAATATAATGTGGACTGAGACACTATCACATAAAAAACAAACAAACATGCAATGTAAATAAATAATAAAAAGCAGCTTTTGCCGTAGAGTGTACCTTGCCCTAGGCACATGGTACAATTCACAAGAATATTATTATAAACTTTAAATATTACATTATTTAATTCTGTCCCAATCTTAGAATAGTGAGGCAAGAGAGCTAGTATCTAGACCGGTTAAGGCTATTCTGCATATTTTTTTTTTTGCAGATATACATGGAAACTTAATCAATGTGAGAAGCCTGATATTTAGATTTTTACCCACGCTCTGCTGCAGAGGAAACAGTAGGTGGCGGTGTGGAGTGCGACCTCCGCGGATACGACAAAACACGAGGACGAAGAAGAACGATTCATTTTCTGTTTACTTCTGATTAAAACGTAAGTAGAGTAAAAGACGGTAAGAGCTGAGATACGAGCTTATGTCGTTGTGCTCGTTATGTTTATGAAACACACAGATGCTGAGTCAAAATACACTGATGTTGCGCTGAAATAAGGTGAGTTTTTGATCACGGAAACGCGTGTACTGTGAACTTTTATTACATGGCCGTGTGAGAGACTGTACGACTGATTAGCTTATAGTTGTTTTACAACTTACACTAATGTGTTTTTTTTGTTATTTTTCACATAAGACACGGAAATGTCAGTTTTCCCTCAGCTTTCCATGAACCCAGAAGTGCGAGAACATCTTCGCAATGTTTATACAAACAACGAGGTGGGCACTTTCAGTCAAATAACTGTTAATTCACCTCTAAGTTGTGTTTTTTTTACATTTTCATGACCTGGGCAAAGTTTACAATATGTGACCCTGGACCACAAAACCAGTCATACAGGTCAATTTTTTTAAATTGAGATTTCTATTGATTTCCATAGATTTCTATTGATTTCCAACTTTCCATTGATGTATGGTTTGTTATGATAGGACAATATTTGGCTGAGATACAACTATTTGAAAATCTGGAATCTGAGGGTGCAAAAAAAAAAAAAAATCTAAACATTTATAAAATCATCTTTAAAGTTGTCCAAATGAAGTTCTTAGCAATGCATATCACTAATCAAAAATTAAGTTTTGATATATTCCCGGTAGGAAATTTGCAAAATATCTTCATGGAACATGATCTTTACTTAATATTCTAATGATACAGTGTATTGTTGGCTATTGCTACAAATATACCTGAGCTACTTATGACTGGTTTTGTGCTCCAGGGTCACACATGCCATTTGAAAACCCAGTGCATGTCTCTTCTTCTCATGTGTTTTTCTGTAGCTGGTGTGTGAGTCTGATCTGGTGTTTGAAGCTCTGCTGTCCTGTCTGTCTCATCCGCCTCTGTTCACCTGTCTGAGAGCCAGCACACACCTGCACTCACTTCAGGACATGCAGCACCGGCTCCAGCAACATTTAGCACAGGTGTGTGTTTCTGCACATTCACATGTTGTGTTATATATGCAAAAACGGGGCTTATTATCACACAGACAGAAGACGTGTGTGAAGACATGCATTTATGAAATAATGTCTTGCAAAAATGGCAGTGTGTACGTTTTTATAGGGGCTGATAAACAATAGCGCGATATGGCTTAGTGAGATTATCAAATTACAAAGTCTGTGATCATTTGATTTTCACATTTTCCAACATTTTTGTGGAAGGAAGTTTTTAGCATTTCACCAGATTCATGAAGCATTTATAAACCTTTTGTCAAATAAACACAAACTTAAAAGTCTCCTTGCAGTTTTCTGCAAAAAAATAAAAAAAAAATATATATATACAGTATATATAACTATTGTAAGTAGTGCAATATAAAAATTATTATTAAATTGGTCAAATATTTATTTTTTTATTTTAAAGTTAAATAGAAGTATTATAATACTAATATATCTCTGTCTAGAGTTTTTAAATTAGTAAACTTTATTATTATTATTATTATTATTCAAATTGACTGGTTTCCTAAAAACTGTAGTATGAATATAATGTGGACTGAGACACTATCACAACTAAAAACTACAGTGTAAATAAATTTAAAAAATGATAAAATAAAAAAAAATATTTTATGTTTATTATTTATTTACGTGAATGCCGTTTGACCATTAACTGACATTAGAGAGCCATCAACATGTGACTGTGAAAAGTCACAGAAAAGTAAACAAAAGTACAGAGAGTAGTGACATTAGTAAGTGTCTAGACACTTTTTTGGGGCCACTGTATGGTGCTCGGAATCAATGATGAGTCTTCTGCATAGTGTTGTTTAAAATGTACAGTTAAATATATTAGAATAGTTTTCAGGATTTTTTTTTCTCAATGTCTCTTTGCAGCAGGAAAGATCTCCATCAGTTTACACTCACCCACAGCTTCCAGATGTTCTGCTGCTTCCAGTCCACGGCCCTCGGTATGCTCACAATATTGTTTTTGTTGTTAAATTATAATTGTTATTGTTTTAAAATATAAGTTCTGTTTATTATCCAGCATGACGATGAGCCGATCGCTGGCATGATGTCTGTTCTCTCAGAAGCTGAACTCTGCAGTAATACAGTGGCTGTTGGTTTGTGTGCGTGTGTTTGTTCTGCAGGCCCGTGGATCCGCTGGCCTCTGAAGTGATCGTTGGCGCTCAGTGTGGTAATGCTGTTCTTCGAGGAGCTCATGTGTTCACGCCTGGCATCCTCAGCACGCCAAAGTGTGAGCAGCACACACACACACACACACACACACACGTCTTTATTTTTAAGTATACACACTAGTGTGCTGCTTCCAGGGTGTTGAATGAAAAGTGTTATTTTTTAAGACATTAAAATTAGAGTTAGATCCTGCTGACTATGCCATAAATTGTATATGAAAAATCCAAAGTTCTGGCATGAAACTCTAGATGGCGCAGTCCGATAGGTCTAACTCAATCTGACATAAACACATCGTTATCACATGGCACAGCTGATTGGTTCTCTCCTGTATCGGTAGCCAATGAGCTCGCTGCTCAACATTCAAATACTTGGCTAGTGTTTGCTGTAGCATTAGCAGCGCACCTCAGAAACCCTCCACCTCCCCAGCCCCGCCTGTATAGATCTGCTGCGGGGCGATTATGTATGCTGTGGGGGTTGTTCATATGTGTTATATGTGCAGCAGCAGTATTTCTTACATGCTTACAGCAGCATGTTGTGGATGTATTGGCAGTAGCAAGTCTCTGTACTTGCTCTGCCGCAGCAGCAGCAGCAGCAGCGTAGCAGATCTATTCCGCCAAGACCAAATGTGACCCTGGAGCACAAAAGCAGTCATAAGTCGCTGGGGTATATTTGTAGCAATAGCCAACAATACATTGTATGGGTCAAAATTATCCATTTTTCTTTTATGCCAAAATCATTGGGATATTAAGTAAAGATCATGTTCCATGAAGATATTTTGTAAATGTCCTACTGTAAATATATCAGAACGTAATTTTTGATTAGTAATATGCATGGCTAAGAACTTAATTTGGACAACTTTAAAGGCGATTTTCTCAATATTTAGATTTTTTTCAGATTCCAGATTTTCAAATAGTTGTATCTCGGTCAAATATTGTCCGATCCCAACAAACCATACATCAATGGAAAGCTTATTTATTCAGCTTTCAGATGATGTATACAACTTAATTTAAAAAATTGACTCTTATCACTGGTTTTGTGGTTCATGGTCACAAATACATTAACATTGTCATGTACATTACCATGCAAATCTCTACGAGAGTTGTCATGATAGAAATAGGGATGTCACGATACCAAAAATCTAGTAGTCGGTACCGATATTAAATTATATAATATTGCAAATTATAAGTATGAATACTTGTCTTTTGATAAATAATTAATGATCTAATGTGGACCGCCAATTTATTCCCGTTCTCTTTGGGGGTCCGTAGGATTCTTCAGTTTGGGAAAATCTGATTTAGATTCATTAAGATGTTAAATCTGTCTTTGTGTGTTTGTCAGACATGAAAGTGGGCGAGGTGGTGTCTGTTTTCTCTGATGTGGAGGGCAAGTGCACACGCGGAGCCAAAGAGTTCAAGGGCAAGAAGGTGTTTCTGGGTAACGGGATTTCTGAGGTGGATCGCTCAGAAATATTCAGCTCAGATGGACCCGGGAAGTGAGTCGAGTTCTCTGTACAAGTCTTTATGTACTCCGTTGAAAGCCAGGATCGCTTTAACTTGTATGTCTGTCTGTCTCTGTCTCTCAGGGGTGTTGCGATTCGAATGACTGAGCCTCTCTATCAAAGCCCTTCCTTTGATGGTGTTCTTACAGATCAGCTCTTTCTACAGGTACCATGCTTCTGTGTCTCAGATAACTACCATTCGCATGAGTGTATATATAGTAGTGTTTTCATATGTAGTGTAAGTGGTGAACTTTGTTTGATTTATGGGTAATTATAAAATGTGCTGGAGTTGTTCGAAATGCTTTTTGCATATTTCATACTTCTTTTACAGAATGAAGCTCAGAGACTGACATGTTTGGTTTGTCGAAAATGTTACATTCAGTAGATGCAAATTCGCTGACTTTTGTAAATCAGGCTTTTTTTTTTTCTTTTTTTTTTACAAGGAAGGAGTGGTTTTGGTGCAGAGTTTTTTTTTTTCCCCTTATAGCAAAAATCTTGTATTTAAACCCATGAAATCGCAGATCCTGTTGTAAATAATATTGAAAAATCACTTTTTAAAACTGTTGTTCCATTATTACCCTGTTATTATCTCATAGCTAATATTTGCAGTAATATACAGTATTTCATAATGTTCTCTTCTAGGTGTTGTTGGATGAGTAGATAATATGAAGTGTTTTTTAATCAACTGAATGTAAACTTGGCCAAAAAATTTTTTTTCAAAGCTTATGCCCTTATGAAGGTAAAATGCCCCAAAATTCCATTCCAGGGGAAAAAAATATAAATGATAAAAATGTATATAAAATTTGACACCTGCTTTTTAAACAGTATTGAAGGAGCTTTTATGTATGATTCTGTTGTTTTTTCACTGTTTGATCCAACTTATTAACTTAAATAGCTAAAATTTAATAATAATAATAATTATTATTATTATTATAAATTATTGAATTGTTTATAAAAACAATAAATTGTAAAAATAAAAAAATAAAACAAAAAGGCATAAAATAACAGTTTTATAGATAAGTGTAAAGACAAAAATAAGTCATGAATCTTTTTAATATAAAAAGTTTTAAATATAACAAGAAACTAATTCAGTCAAGTGTCTCCAAAATTTTGAGCATTTGTCCAAATCGAGGTGTCTTTGAATGTGTATGTTTGCATTTGTTCACACAGAACCTGCCGTCTGTGGTCGTGGGTCATGCTTTAGGAGCTCGTCCAGGAGAGCGAATCCTCGACATGTGTGCCGCTCCTGGAGGAAAGACCACACACATCGCTTCTCTCATGGGAAACCAGGCAAGTGTGTGTGTGTTAGCAATCCTGTAAGGACATTATATGATAAGAGTACTTGAAATATTGGCAAGAAAAAGTAGTCCTGGATGAAAACAAACAGACTCTTAAATCTTATGCTGTGTCTCCACAGGGTACTGTTGTGGCCTTGGAAAAAATCCGATCCAAAATGGAAAAGATCGTTCAGAACGCAAAGATGCTGCAGTTGCACTGTATTAAAGCATATTGCTGTAACAGTGTGCATGCTGTGAGCTCAGATCCCGCTCAATGCAGTGCAGGTGAGCCTCCATAATCTAAAACCAGCAGTACAGACCTGACTCGCATACTAAATTCAGCGGATTTCATTCTACGTCAAAAGTGAGGAACAATTTGGGATTTATAGGCAACTCATATTGCACTCATGTATATACCAGTAGTTAAAATAATAACAAACGTTTTTTTTTTTTATTTAAAGATAAATAGACACAACATAAATTAATATTATATGCACAAATGAGCAACTACTTTGTGATAATTGTGCCACTGAAATTAATTAATTAATTATATATGATTTCCTGAAGGAAAGAAAAGCTATCTGAAGGACTCACACGTGTTTTTCTTTTTTAATAAAATATTTTGTTATTGTTTCTCTGATTTCAAATTCCTTTCTTTCTTTCTTTCTTTCTTTCTTTCACACATAATTCTTGCAGTATGCCGTTGCATTATGGACTATTTACATATTATGCACACAATCTACTGACAGCCTGTTCAGTGGTTTTATGAACATACTGTTTTACCTGAAGTGAATTTTGAGTACATATTTTCTAAAAGTTCTTCTCATTATCTCTTTATAGTTTAATCCATCTTTCACAGTGACTCTTAAGACAATAGAATAAAATCTCTGGTTGAATTACTTTAATTAATTGCAGATAATGATTTGTAAAAAGGTTTCATTTTCAAGTTTAGATCAGATTTTAAGCTGAACATAGTTTTTGTAGACGTACTAATTATAGATTTGTGTGTATTTGTTGACGGTCCCCCGTATCCTGAGGAGAGTTTTGACCGGATATTATTAGACGCTCCCTGCAGTGGTTTGGGTCAAAGACCCAACATGAGCTACAGCTGGAGTCTGAAAGAAGTCTGTTCCTACCAGCCTCTGCAGAGAAAACTCTTCACTACGGTAATGCAGGACTATAAAGCTCATCTTCTGATGCTACTCATCCAGTGTGCGTTTTTATGCTTCAATGTTTTCCACAGTAACATGTGTTTGCAGCTTTCCACCTCTAAGTGGCGCTATAACCATAGACTCTGAAAGTTAGAAAGTGATGTAAGCTTTCTTTATGATGGTTAAAATGTAAATTCAACGTTTAAATTGTTATTTACAAAACACAGTGACAACAAAGCTGCATGGAAGCTTGTTTCCGCCATGTGCTAAAAAAAAGGTAATTATGACTTTTCTCACAATTGCGAATTTTTTTCACAGAATTGCAAGAAAAAAGACTGAATTATGAGATATAAACTCAGAATTGTGCGAAAAAGTCTGAATTGTGAGATTAAAAGTCATAATTACTTTTTAAAAAATGTTTTATCCTGTGGTGGGAACAAGCTTACAGCTTGAAGGAAAAATGTTATATTATAAATTGTTGTATTTTTGATATTTATTATTATTTATTTACTTATATTATTCAATAATTTTATTAGCTTTTATTTTTATATTTTCAGTTAATTTTTATTTTTAGTAATTTTGTTCTGTGCTTTTATCTTTTTAAAATGTATCTGTTTAGCCTTAATTTTATTTTCTTTAATTTTAGTCATTTAAACTTTAACTCGTTTTATTTCAGTTAGTTAAGGCAACATTTTAAATTTTTAAAGTTTTTAACATTTTTAAGTTTTCTTTTGTCTAATATTTATATTGCAATTGCAATTATTTTTATTAATTTTAGTTAAGGATTACACCGCTTGGAGTTGTCTATATCATTTTGGCTGACTACCTATTGTGAACGTTTCTTTCAGTCACTGAACAGAAGGAGGTTCTGTGTAGCTGTTTATTGCTGTGTTAGTCTTTTACAGATTATTATATGTGTCTGTTTTACACACTTTTGTTTGCAGGCTGTGCGTTTGTTAAAAAGAGGAGGTGTTTTGGTGTACAGCACCTGCACCGTGACGCTTGCGGAGAATGAAGAGCAGGTCGCCTGGGCTCTCAAGACATTCCCCTGTCTAACACTAGAGCCACAGGTGAGGATAAAAACACTGCTAAAACAACAAACATTTTACAACCCAGAACTGTCAAAACAAACTGAGTAGTGAATACTTACGAGTCTAGCTAAAACAGAACAAATATGAGATACTCAAAAACAATGACGTGTCATTACTGGATCTTTAGATGAAGTGACAATTTTCCTCAAAGAACATCAAACCTGAAGTGACTTATCCAGACAGGACTATTTTTCGACAAATAATTTTGCATTTTTATATGTATATATATATATATATATGTGTGTGTATGTGTGTGTGCTCAAAGACTACATTTGACATCTGTCTTGACTGCCATCATCTCTATTTATTGTTTCTTCTTTTGAAAAGGAATGGAAATTTAATAGTGATTTTTTTTGTTTGTTCTTAGTATACCCTGCTAAACAAAAGTAAATTTGCTTCTATAGTTTATTACAGCTTCCCTACCCCTGAAAAGCAGAGACTGCTGGGAAAGCTCTTCCATTATGAAATGGTCTATAACAAAGTTTCAATTGACATATAACTGGTGATATTACTGTAGTGTAATCGCTTAAGTATTAGTAATTAACTACTATATTTTAGACAGTTCTTTTTTAATTGCAATATGCCGTGTCAACCCAGCAACTAATGTTGTGTTTGTTGAATATGACTGGGGGATTATAATGTGGTGGAGCAAAGGCTATGAGAGTTAGTGAAAGCTTGGATTTGTCTTCTTTTCCAGGTGCCTGTTTTAGGATCGGAGGGGATGTCGGGAGCAGGTCTGACACGGGACCAGCGGCGGCTGCTACAGAGATTTAGGCCAGAATTAGCATGGAGAGGAGCAGGTGTCCCACATTCCCCCGAGAGCCTCCTACAAAACGCCAACGCAGATACTATCGGCTTTTTTATTGCCAAGTTCATAAAAAGGTAGTAAGCTGAAGAAGTATGGCACTTTTATCTGCTAAACAGTTGAACACATCAAAGATATGTTGTGGGTCCATTGACTTTTATCGTATGAACAAAAAACAGACATTTTTTTAAATATCAGGTGAGGTGATGTTTCTGCAGCAGGTTTTCGTTAACTTGAACCACTTATTTGTAGGACACAAATTAAATGACATAGGGTAAAAATATTTATTAATCCTCAGAAAGGAAACAGAAGGGTATGTAAACTTTTGAATAGGATCATCTTGTGTAAATTATTATGCCTTTTGGAAAATATTTTAACATGCTTCAGAATTTACATATTTACGCATTTCCCAAAATTACTATTTAAATAGATCATCTGTTTCAAATGTTTACTGGTTTAATGTAGTGTGTTGCCTTTATGACCATCAAATAATGTTTTTAATTTTTCATAATGGGCATAATTTTGTGCTCCACTACTCAGAGACTCATGAAGAACCATCACAAAACATACAAACAGTCACTGATCCTCACGGAAACTACAGACCAGAATAAGATCCAGGAGGATGTAAACTTTTATAGTAACAGGATTGTGTGTGCAAATTCAGTTATTTTTTCTTGTGCAATGTATGCAAGTAAAAATTAATAATAAAAAACATTTTCTATGATACCTCTTTTTTTAAACAATACATATTCTGCAACTTCATGAGCACTGTGAGGTGCATAGAATTGCTCAACTCAAGAAAACTGAATAATCGCCTTGTAATTTTTAGGTTCGCAGTTTGTGTGGACAATACTCTTTCCTCATTCACTTGCGCAACAGACTGCAGATTTCATCAAAATGCATGGGGAATGCAAACACAGCATAAATCAATACAACAATAATTCATTATATATTAGTAGTAAAACAAGTTCTTATACTTTCTGAATGCAATCTTGATTGCATTATAGCAGTGAAATTCAAATTGAAGTCTGCCAGTTGTCGTCAGTTTTCAATTAAGGGCAGTCATCCAGAATTCAGATTGTTCATTATTCTGTGTTTGGTTATATGTTAAAATGTTCTCTTTTCTTTTTTTCTTTTTTTTTTTGGGACAGAAAAGCTTGTTTCTGCAAGCCAGTGTATGTCCGCATAGTATATTTGACCATTTAATTTCAAAAGATCATGGAAATTCAGTTTTTATACCTTATTTGACTAAGTCTTTGAAAGACCACGTGTGATTAAGCCATTTTTGTTTCCACCCACAGAAATTCAGTAATCCATAACCAGAAATTCATATGCAGGGCTGTAAGATTTGTAGTCTCACTGCTAAAAGGACAATTTAAACAGCTTTCACAGCTCAAATAACACATTTTTGTATGGAAGGATTAATGAAAGTTCCTTTTAAGAGGAACTCTCGGCGGCTCCGCTGCCGAGCCATTGGTTTGTTTTTTATTCACTGCACGAACCAATGGCCGTGCAGTTACACTGCATTATTGAAAGGCTTCAGTCATCAGAGAAAAAGGTGTTTTCCCCAAGCGTCTTAAACAGACGCAGTACTCGTTCCGTATCTCAGGGAACCGAGGTTACGTTAGTAATCGAGTATGTTAATAAGTGTTCAGGACTGCTGGAGAAACAAACCAAAACTATCATGTTGTTTTTGTAACTTCTTTATCCTATATGCAAGGCAATACACACCTTTGCAACATTAACACACAAGTAATTAACATTAAATAACAATTCAAAATGACATCCACACAAAATAAAATAAATATCCTATTTTTTTTTTAACTAAACATCAGCAGTGAAGATGAAATCGAGAATTCAACATGAAATTTTTTTTTCCTGTAATGTGAAGTTTTTCTGGGTGAACAGAATATTCAATAACAACAAAATAATAATAATTATGGAAGATTGTTTCCGCCATGGAATAAAAAATAAAAAAGGTATTCGCAACTATTTATTATCTCGCAATTCTGACTTTTTTTCTTGCAGTTGCGATCTCACAATTCTGTTTTTTTTTTTTCCACCACAGAATAAAAACTAAAAAGTAATTGCAACTTTTTATCTTACAATTCTGACTTTTTTAGTAAAAAAACTTTTCTAGTTTACATCTCAGATTTCTGACTTTTCTTAGAATCGCAAGTTTATATCTCAGAATTCTGACTTTCTTTTCTCAGAATTGCAAGGAAGAAAAGTCAGAATTGTAAGATAAGTCACATTTACTTTTAAATTTTTTTTTCTGTGGTGGAAACAAGCTTCCATAAATAATAATAACAATAATAATAATAAAAATTTGAGTAATGAACTAGACCTAAAGAATTTACGAAATATGTACGATAAAAAAATAAACAGCAGATTTCTATATGGGGACACATTTTGCCATTTTTGTCACTTTCGGTGGCTTTTTTGCACCAAACTTGCATTAATTTCTGAAACTGTCACTCACATCAGCTGAAAGCCAAGATTGTTTCAAAGCAGAGCAAGTTTTAAAAAAATACAAACTCTTTTTTTTTTTTCTCCTTTGGGTTAACATGCATCTATGATTTGTTCAATAAGACCAGGTATGCAAATCAAGTAAAAAACAAAACTAAAAATAAATACACAAAATTCTACAATCTTTAAAGAGAATTTCATCATTCATGCCATATTAAATTATATATAATTGTCTTTATTTAATTGTCGTCAGTTTTCAATTAAGGGCAGTCATCCAGAATTCAGATTGTTCATTATTCTGTGTTTGGTTATATGTTAAAATGTTCTCTTTTCTTTTTTTCTTTTTTTTTTGGGACAGAAAAGCTTGTTTCTGCAAGCCAGTGTATGTCCGCATAGTATATTTGACCATTTAATTTCAAAAGATCATGGAAATTCAGTTTTTATACCTTATTTGACTAAGTCTTTGAAAGACCACGTGTGATTAAGCCATTTTTGTTTCCACCCACAGAAATTCAGTAATCCATAACCAGAAATTCATATGCAGGGCTGTAAGATTTGTAGTCTCACTGCTAAAAGGACAATTTAAACAGCTTTCACAGCTCAAATAACACATTTTTGTATGGAAGGATTAATGAAAGTTCCTTTTAAGAGGAACTCTCGGCGGCTCCGCTGCCGAGCCATTGGTTTGTTTTTTATTCACTGCACGAACCAATGGCCGTGCAGTTACACTGCATTATTGAAAGGCTTCAGTCATCAGAGAAAAAGGTGTTTTCCCCAAGCGTCTTAAACAGACGCAGTACTCGTTCCGTATCTCAGGGAACCGAGGTTACGTTAGTAATCGAGTATGTTAATAAGTGTTCAGGACTGCTGGAGAAACAAACCAAAACTATCATGTTGTTTTTGTAACTTCTTTATCCTATATGCAAGGCAATACACACCTTTGCAACATTAACACACAAGTAATTAACATTAAATAACAATTCAAAATGACATCCACACAAAATAAAATAAATATCCTATTTTTTTTTTAACTAAACATCAGCAGTGAAGATGAAATCGAGAATTCAACATGAAATTTTTTTTTCCTGTAATGTGAAGTTTTTCTGGGTGAACAGAATATTCAATAACAACAAAATAATAATAATTATGGAAGATTGTTTCCGCCATGGAATAAAAAATAAAAAAGGTATTCGCAACTATTTATTATCTCGCAATTCTGACTTTTTTTCTTGCAGTTGCGATCTCACAATTCTGTTTTTTTTTTTTCCACCACAGAATAAAAACTAAAAAGTAATTGCAACTTTTTATCTTACAATTCTGACTTTTTTAGTAAAAAAACTTTTCTAGTTTACATCTCAGATTTCTGACTTTTCTTAGAATCGCAAGTTTATATCTCAGAATTCTGACTTTCTTTTCTCAGAATTGCAAGGAAGAAAAGTCAGAATTGTAAGATAAGTCACATTTACTTTTAAATTTTTTTTTCTGTGGTGGAAACAAGCTTCCATAAATAATAATAACAATAATAATAATAAAAATTTGAGTAATGAACTAGACCTAAAGAATTTACGAAATATGTACGATAAAAAAATAAACAGCAGATTTCTATATGGGGACACATTTTGCCATTTTTGTCACTTTCGGTGGCTTTTTTGCCCCAAACTTGCATTAATTTCTGAAACTGTCACTCACATCAGCTGAAAGCCAAGATTGTTTCAAAGCAGAGCAAGTTTTAAAAAAATACAAACTCTTTTTTTTTTTCTCCTTTGGGTTAACATGCATCTATGATTTGTTCAATAAGACCAGGTATGCAAATCAAGTAAAAAACAAAACTAAAAATAAATACACAAAATTCTACAATCTTTAAAGAGAATTTCATCATTCATGCCATATTAAATTATATATAATTGTCTTTATTTAATGTGTCCACACTTGGAAAAGTCGTGTATGGATACACGTGTCATATACATTACATTGGCCTGTAAAAACACATAAGATTGAGGTCAGTGTGTATGTGGCACGTGTGTCACTGCTCTATGTAATGCTCTCTCGCCCATTCCGCCTCTCCTCGTTTCCTGTCCCGCTCATGATGAGGTTCTCGTTGTGACCTCTGCTTTTCTCTTTGCTGGCCGTTCCTCTCGTTGTGGTCGTATTCCTTCTCTTTGTCGCCCTGGTGGTGATGATGGTGATGATGGTTTGGCGGTTCCTCTTCCTGCGTTTGTCCAGCGAGAGGTTCTGGATATGTGGACTCTGACGTCTCTTGTTTGTAAAGTGTCCTCGTGGTGCGACTGTGATGGCGGTGGTGATGATGATGATGATGATGGCTGTGGTGTTTGTGACCGCTTCTCCATTCACTTTGGTCGTTGTTAGCTTTAGCGTCTTGCTCCTCAGTGTTGTCGTCTTCCAAACGTCCTTGCTTCTGAGTTTGGTAGTGATGATGATGATGGTAGTCTTCATAAAAGCCCGTCCTGTCGTCCGCTGGTCTCTCTGCTGTCTGCTCGCCCACTCTGCCCTGATTTAGCAACACGTGTGGAATAATGCAGTTATATGGATTTGCAAACACAAACTAAATGTGGACAACTAATGTTACCAAATGGAACCTTACTGTAGTTTTACCGAAAAGATTGTTATTGTTTTGTAAGAAACCGTGTGTAAGAAAATCAAAGTAAACATCTCAATGCATACATTTTTTAACACACACACACGCAAGTCTCTGAAATCATTGCAAATCACTACAAACCACATCAGATCTACAGTATATGCAAGCCAGTTTTCTGCCACTGAATGAATTTAAAAAGTCACAATTACCTTTTTTTTTATTCAGTGGCGGAAGCAAGTTTCCATAGATCTACTATCACTCTCCAATGTTAAAGGGATAGTTCACCCAAAAATGAAAATTAGCCCATTACTACTCACCCTTGAGCCATCCTAGGTCTATATGGCTTCCTTCTGTCAGACGAATCCAATCGGAGTTATGTTAAAAATTGTCCTGGCCCTTTCAAGCTTTATAATGGCAGTGGGCGGGTGTTTCTGTTCCACAGTCCATAACAAGTCCAATAAAGTGCATCCATCCATAATAAAAAGTGCCTCACATGGCTCCGGGGGTGAATAAAGGCCTCCTGTAGCGAATCCATGCGTTTTTGTAAAAAAAAAAAAAATCTATATTTAAAAGGTAATAATCACTTTTCTCTAGCTTGCGCTAAATGTTGTTCAC